TACAGTTATGTGCCAGTTCCTCAGTTGTGGCGTCACCCGGCGTGCGAGTTTATGACCGGGACGTTCTTATTGGTAAAAATATCAATCACATTAGGATTTACCATGGGCCGGTCACATGGGAGGGCAATCTCCTTCTAGGGCGGAGCACGGCCTCTGTTGTATCTAAACTTCACTCCCATGAGAAGACCCGAGACCGCCAGAACCTCTGAAGGGAGTCGCCGCACTGGCCGGACTGGTTTCCTTCTGCACGTCGGGTCTCTGGTTACAAAGTTTTCCTGGAATCGGAGGAATGACATTACTCCTTTGCAGTCCGACCAATGAGCACCCAGAAGGCGGTGTTGCTGAGACTTCAAACTCCGCCCCCATTTGGGTAGTTGTTATTCAACTACCCAAATGGGGGCATTACAGTGTACAGTGTCAGTTCACTGTACAGCACTGCGGTATATGTCAGAGCTATATGAATGTATAATAATAATGTGACTGTGGGGGAGGGGACATTAGAGTGTAAGCTCCTCTGTACAGAGACTGATGTGACTGTGGGGGAGGGGACATTAGAGTGTAAGCTCCTCTGTACAGAATGGGATTGACCAGCTCCAAGGTCTACCAGTGGCCATACACTTTCCTATGTCATGTGACCCTCCCTCCCGGATTTGTCCTCCGTACAGGAAATGCTCCGGGTGATGAGGATGATCGATGATCGCATCGTTTATGAACTGAACACGTCCGTCCCCACCGTCTCCTTCGCTGGGAAGATCGATGCCGGCCAGACCTGCAAACAGCTGTACGAATCTGTAAGTGAGACCTGACGCTGGGATTAGGGGGCGATAGTCACCTGGTCATTCCTGAGGGTCATGTCCAGCGTCCCCTGAACAGGTTTCCTGTGTCTTTGGGGGACTCTGGGCGGTGAGGTTTCTGCATGTGTGTTTTCAGGTCAGCCTGCCGCATCCATTATGAGAAGGTCGCTGTCGCCATGTTGTAGGATAGTCTGGGATGTGACGGCGAGGTCTAAGTGTCTGGAGGCAGCCGGTGACTCCGCCCATCAGATTCCACATAGAATTCAGGCCAGGGCCAGGCCAATGCAGAGACACGAGGTGCCAGCCATGCACACAGGGGAGGGGCCACAGTCTGGTCCCGCCTTGCCGCCTCCTCTAGTATAATATTCAGCACCCCGTCCTGTGTATAAGTAATATGTTTCCACTCAATGAGACTCGGCTCTGGAGGAAGGGAAGGACGCTTTGGCATGGTCCCATTGGATGCGAGAGGATCCTCTCTGGGTTCTGAATGAGAGAGAACATCTCGGTGGACGGACCCTGAAGGGGAACATTCCATTGCCGACCTCTCCTCCTGAAAATACACTTTGGGTGTCCTGTTAATCTTCAGGCTTCAGTGCAATGTGGCTCCATGCTTATTCCAGGATAGTGAGGAGGTGAAGCCAGACACAGGATGGCACCCAGTTTTATAATAAGGGGGGTCAGCCGTGCCAGCCTCTGTAATTACCCCAAAAATGTTTAGCAATTCATCTCATCGTACGGCATTGACTAGGGATGTACAGATACTTTTCGAGTACCAGTGCCGATACCTGGCATTTTCATGAGAACTACCAGGGTGGCAGCGGTTGCAGCTGGGACCTGGTTCTGGCGCTCCACCGCTGTCCTGAAATCATTAGTCTGTATTGTTTTAGAAAAACTGTCACATGACCAATAAACAAAAATGTATCAGTACTCGTATCTGTGAGTACCCGGGCAAGAGTCAGTACTCGTACTCGCAAAACTGGTATTGGTGCATCCCTAATATATATTTATAAAAACAAAATCGTACAATAAAACAGAGATGTACAAATCCCGGGAGCTCCGCGTGCTCCTTACACATGACAGCCGCCTCCTAACTTTTGAATTTTTCTCTAGTCTAGTCTTGGAGCTCAAAAGTATCGGCACATGTACTCATACCGAGTACTGTACTTGGTATCTGTGCAACCCTAGAATGGACCTCAGTGACTGTACATGTGGAAGTACCCAATGGACATACTGACCCTCCCTGGGGAACACGGATGTCACTTTGATTGACCCTTCACTCTGAAATTGGGGGGGCTCTCCTACAGCAACACATACAGAAATAAACATTTGTTGTTTTTGTTGTCACCAGGATAAAAATCTCTACAGAGTTGGGGGCTAATCCTTCCCCGCTCTGTAGAAGTTTTTGACTTGATATTCACGTGACATTAAAGCCAAAACCCCCCCCCCCCCCCCCCCCCTTCCCGGTCCAGACTTACCTGACCTGACTCAGTAGTCACCAGTCTGTATTCTGCTGCAGTGGAAAAATGTCAAGAGAACCTGTCGCTTTGCCCGCTCCGGTATGATATGGATCACATCTGTTCTGTTGGCCGATAGGAGCTGTCCAGCGCCGATCCTGTAAGCTAATCACAGAACCAGATTGTCACATGTACTCGGCAGTAACATGCATTGCGATGCTGTAACATATTTGTTTCCTGTAAAAAATGTTTCTGGCGGTGTATCGGCTTTATCTGCTGATTTTGGGGTACGTATAAGGGAGACGTTCTTCAGGTGTTAATAATCCTCTCCATTCTCTCTTCGTCTCCTTTTTATACGTGTGCACAGTTACGGGACGCTCACATCTCCCGGGAGAAAGCCATAAAGAACTGTATAACTCAAGCATCCAGCACTGTGAACCGAATGCAGGAGGAGCGGAGGAGGGACGGGCACAATATACCGCTAACCAAACAGCTCAGGAAAGAGCAGACTAAGGTGAGATCAGAGGGAGGGGCTCTGCAATCCATCACCTGGTATACCACCAGCCTTGATTTCTGTACATTATACTCGGCACAGCTGGGCCATTCAGAGGCCTGTATTTGGCGTCCTCTCCTCTTGGTGTCCTGTCACTCATTTGTCCTCCAGCAGGGGGCGCCCTCTTCTCACTCTCTCCCCTATTAGTGTCCTGTAACTCTCATTGTCCTCCATCAGGGAGCGCCCTCTCCTCACACTCTCCTCTGTTAGGGTCCTGTAATTCTCATTGTCCTCCCAGCAGAAGGCGCCCTCTCCTCACACTTCTCTATAGTGTCCTGTAATTGTCATTGTCCTCCAGCAGGGGGCACCCTCTCCCCTGTTAGTGTCCTGTAATTGTCATTGTCCTCCAGCATGGGGCGCCCTCTCCTCACTCTCCCCTGTTAGTGTCCTGTAATTCTCATTGTCCTCCAGCGGGGGGCGCCCTCTCCTCACAAGTCTCTATTAGTGTCCTGTAATACTCATTGTCCTCCAGCAGGGGGCGTCATCTCCTCAATAGTGTCCTTTAATTCTCATTGTCCACCAGCAGGGGACGCCCCCTTCTCACACTCTCCTCTATAGTGTCCTGTAATTCTCATTGTCCTCCAGCAGGGGGCGCCCTCTCCTCACACTCTCCTCTATAGTGTCCTGTAATTCTCATTGTCCACCAGCAGGGGACGCCCCCTTCTCACACTCTCCTCTATAGTGACCTGTAATTCTCATTGTCCTCCAGCAGGGGGCGCTCTCTCCTCACACTTTCTCTCCTCTGTTATCTAGTTGAAGCTGCTGCAGTCTGAGCTGAACGTGGAGGAAGTTGTGAATGATAGAAGCTGGAAGGTAAGCTGACCTGTCTCTGATAGTACCAGTGGTAAAATGCTAGCTGCCTGCCTGTCATGTTGATCCGGTGTTCTCAGTACTCTGAGATCCTGACCCATACCGAGTCTGCAGATTAGGAATCTTGACATTTGCTGGCAGAGTAAGAGAGAGGGGGCCAGGCAAGCAGCATGTCGTCCAGCAGGGGGCGCCCTCTCCTCTGTAGTGTCCTGTAATTTCTGCTGTGATATGATTGGTGGGAATCTCCCTTCACGCTTCTTCTATCTCATAGATATTCAATGAGCGTTGCCGGATACACTACAAACCTCCCAAGGAGCAGTAACTCGGGGACACTACACTCTCCTGGCAGCGCTGCGCTCCCCCCCGGACAATGGAGGATTCCGGGACTCACATGAAATCTTCTGTCTGTGAAGGGACAAAGCTGACAGACTGGGATCAGGATCTCCGGACGGATCGGCGCCGACATTTTGTATTCAATTCTTTGTGACGATGTTTTATAGGCAATAAATCTCATTTTCAGAGGAAGTTCGTCTGATGTGTTCTGACCAATCGTGTTCTGTGTTCAATTATTTGTAGAAGACATTGCCAGATAATGTTCTCTTCCTGGGTCTGTACACCCGCTGTGCCCATTATGAGGAGCTCCCACCATCCCTGTGCTGAGTTCCCGAATTCTGGTGAGTGAGGAGCGTCACACGGGTCACACATGACGGGATATTGTACGTGGGAGGAGCAAGTGAACAGAATTTGGTGTTTTTCACCATCTGGGCTCCACCAGACACTTTCTATTTGAATGGACGATTAGTTTACAGACAATCGTTTTGCGGACGGCTGTATGATCACTCAGTCCATGTTGTATGTGAATTGCTGGTACGGGTGATTGATGCGCAGTCTATACACGGGATACATTGAGCGTAATGCTGGGCACACACCTTACAACCATCGCAAGGCTTGTCTTGCGATGGTTGTAAGGTACTTTAAAAAAAAAAAAAAAAACATACGATCTGCCTCTCTTGCATAGGCAGATCGTACTTCCGATGATCCCAAGCCACGCCCCTGAGGGGCGGGCTTCCAATGACCGCAATGCAGAACGGGCAGTCACCGGCCCGTCCGGCTTTTATCATACGAACATGCTACACACCCGCCGAGCATCGTACGATTTTTGAACATGTTCGCAAGTTAAAAGTCGTGCGACCTTACATTAGCAGAGGTCGCACGGCTTCCACACACCTTACGATAATTGTACGATTGCGGGATTTCCCCCGATTATCGCAAGGTGTGTGGGGACCTTTAGCACAGCGGCACAATCTACACGGAGAGTTTCTCTATTATAAAGTAGATTATTGGAATCATTCAGGTCAGTAACCCAGAAAGAAAAAAAAACACAGACGCAAGGGTCGGCCTCAGCGCTGAAGGCCCCTCCCCACCATGGCGCACATTGCTGCGCGTTCTACAATGCTTTGCACTTGTTATTTTTATGCACGGCCGCACGTCGCGATGCCTTTTACCTTTTGTTCAGCACCTCGATGTGTAAGCGGAAGCCATACACCAAACATGAGACAAACTGCCTTGTTCTTGTGTTTGGCAACAGTCCAATGCTGCTGGTGTTAATGGGCCCTCACAGTTACATGTTTCAGGCCCAGGGAGATCTAGAGAACCAGGCCACTCTTAAAGGAGAACTATGAGGGGGGGGGGGGGGGGGGTTTTAAATGAGACTGTCACAGGTCAGCTCAGTAGATCGGGAGGTGAGCGAACACATACCAGCGTTCGCTCACCTCTCAATCCTGTCACAGCTCTGCCGTGACAGGGGGAGGGGCTGGATTCCCTCCTCCCCGCTCCGATAGCGCTGACTGGCGGAACGGACGGGGCAGGTACAGCTGGCTCTGCCGCTGTCACTTACGCAGCTCGGCGGATCTCGACATCAGGATCCGCTCCGGCCTCTCAGTATATGGAGAGCTGTAACTTGCGGTATACAGAGCTTTGGGTGACGGGAGGACGCTAGTTTGTGTCCTCCCGTTACCCTGAGAACTATGGGGAAAAGCCCTAACCCCATAGTTCTCCTTTAAGGTGCGGTGTTGTGACATTCTTTAAAGGTGAGGTAGTAGAGTCGGCCGGTAGCCATAGAACAAGGCAATCTATTGATCACACAGCCACCGGGCTCACACACTGATCTCTCCCGCTGCCCATAGTAGGCAGATTCCTGGTGACACCCTACCCAGGCCCAGATTCCCCCCACAAGGCCACCGAGGGCCAGCAGGGCGGCAGCGGTGTCCTTGTGGGGAGGTTTCCCTCTCTACATTCAGTCCTGCTTTGTACAAGCCGAGCTAAATGTAGAGTGAGGCAGAAGATTGTTTGTTTACAAGTGAACTCGGCGATGTCCCCAAGATCACATGTAAACAGTGTGCAGCCGGTCCGTCCGTCCGTCCGTCCGTCCTCCCCTCCCCCATTGTAATTACCTATTCGCTGAGGGGCGCATCAGGACCTGGCCTTGGGGCGGCAGGGAGAGTAAATCCAGCCCTGACCCTACCACCAACATACCAGCAGAAGTCATCCAGAGGTGGAGCGGCCTCTGCAGGAACATTGCTCATCACTATATTAGGATTGATCCCCCTCTGCAGGTCATCAGACATGAGAACGTATTGAAGACACATTAAAGGGAAGCACAAAAGTTTAATAACTGTATACAAAAAGTTTAGTACAAAATCTGTATATAGATGTTAGCGGAGCGCAGTGACATCACACGTTAGAGGAGCGCTGTGACATAACATGTGACGTCACAGCAATGTAACGTGTGATAAGAGAGCCGTGACATCACACGTCATGACATTTTTGTTTCAAAGAGAAAAGTCTATTAGATGAGAGCGGTGGTAAGCAGAGCAGCATGGAGGAGGCACTGCAGACAGACTCCAATCAGTTTATATATAAGAGATCTCCTCTTCCTTGGTCTTCCCAGTCTGGGAGGTGGACAGAGTGACCTTCCCCTGCTCGTGTGGGAGAGCTTTGTGGATGCGCACGTGATAGTACTCCTCATCACCGACCTGGACCTGAGGAGAGAAGAGAGACGGCGTTACAACACAGAAACCATCGCTGGACACAGATCAGAGAAGACACGGGGGAGGGGGGATGTACAGAGACCGGCACTGCGGACGTAGATGGACCAACAGCTCGCAACCTTTTGTAGAGTCCAAAGAAGCCGGCAGCAGGTCAAAGTAAAAGGGACAACCCCTCTAATTTATAACCAGCAATAGAGTTGGGGAGGCAGCACACAGCTTGTAGGGCTCGTACCATTGGACCCCCAAATGTCACCCTGCCCAATTCATGGATTTTTACTTTTAATACAAACCTTTCAGATGGTCACTGGCCCTGGGCGGTCCTCCATGGTGCACAGGTAAGGTCCCAGAGTCACTGGCCCTGGGCGGTCCTCCATGGTGCACGGGTAAGGTCCCAGAGTCACTGGCCCTGGGCGGTCCTCCATGGTGCACAGGTAAGGTCCCAGAGTCACTGGCCCTG